AAGGTTCAGGTTACACAGGCCAAGACTCTAAATCTCTAAACCTGGGGCTCTTCACAACGTGCTCTCCCCACTGGAACAAAGAGGGTGTGTGAGTTTGCAGGCATTTGTAGCTGTAGGTAGGAGTGCCTGTGTGCTCCACCCTCACTCCCAGGATATCCAGCTCCTCCCAAAGTCACCATCAGAGGCCTGACCTACCGAAGACCAGGTGTTAGCTACCCTCGGCCATCGAGGGCCGGGAACCTGATGGGCTTTGTGCTGTAGCAAAGGAGCGGGGTCACAGCCCCGGGAGCCGGGACCCAGGAGACAGCAGCACTGAGCCAGAGCAGGGGCCGTGACTGGGAGGCTTGGACCTGGGGGTCCTTTATGCCTGCCAGGTCCTGGCTCTGAATCACCACAGGGAGGGACGTCGTCTGAGGTGAAGACACCAGGTGCTAGTCCCACAGAGGGAACTTTTCTCCCCAAAACTGAAGCCTGGCCCATCTTCCTTCTCTGCCCTCAATTCTTGTCCACTGAACTCCTTCATGCCCAGACTGTCCTCCACTTAGCCAGGCCCTAGGGTAACCCACTGCCATCTTCCCCAATCCTCCTTAGGAGGCTCCAGAAGCCCTGGACCTCAGGTAAGAGCAGAGTCACATTTGATTAAGAAGGAGTGTGGGAGGAGGTCCAGGGTGTCGGCGATAAAATAAGGGTAGAAGCCCAACTCTGCCTCGGTCTCCCTTTCCCTCCAGGGGCATAGGTGGCCTCTCAATTTTCTGCTGCTCTTGCTCCATCTTGGGAATCCCTTATTTTAGGACTCCTTCCCTTTGCCCCACACTGCCAAGATGACTAACCTGCTGCCCCTGTGCCAGACATAAGGAACTTGGCAGAGGATTGGAAACCCCAAGAGCACCAGTCAGGCAATGCACTTCTTGGGGAGACTTGACTTCCAGGTCCTATGTGTCAGTCAGGCCTTGCTTTTGACTCTTCATGCATGGGTTGGGCTGGGTCATTGTCTGCTTGGTGCTGTGGGAGCCACAGTTGCCCAGCTCAGCAATGGTCCTAAACTTGTCCCATGAAACAGCACTCTTCCCTCCTAGTGGCCCCCCTTCAGTGCCAGCCTAGCAGTGCTGAGCACAGCAGGCACAGGAATGGTAGTGGCGATGGTGGCCCCTCTCCTGGTGCTCCAGTGTGGCCCGGCACCCAGAGACTTTGCCCTGTGCGTGGGAGGCCTGGAGGGTGGGGTTCACACAGTAGACTGAGGTAGAGCTCCCCAGGGCCAGGATTCTTGGCTCTGCTAGGATTCTGTGGCCTGTCCACGGTGCTGGATGACTTTCTGTGTGCCACCCCCAACTTCAAGCACCCAGGCCATCCACCCATTGGGTTCTGAGACTCTAGTGGCACAGCCTATCGGGAAAGGACTCTGTCGGAGGGCAGGAGATGTCTGGCCCGCCCGCACCGGTCCTCAGGCCGAAGGCAGGCCCACAAAGCGAGGTGCGTGCAGGCAGGCATCCGGAGCAGACACGCTGAAACCTCCTGGGGGAAGCCGAGTGCCAGCACAGACAAACGGCCACCTCAGTCATGACATGGCCTAAAAACAGGAAGGCCAAAGAGAGTGAGCGTGGTAGGCCCGAGAGAGGCGAGGCGGCCGAGAGAACACAAAGGGATGCACTGGAACAACTGGAGGTCGAGAGACGGTCAGTTGAGCGGACTGAGCTCAAACCAAGCTTTCTTTTTCTCGTCAGCTCTCGTCAACACTCGAGTGTTCCATTCGTGCTCTGGCGAGTTTTGGGTGAAAACATCAAGACCGCTCGGGTGGTCTAACATCTTGGTTTCCTCTCACCTCACCCTCCAACTTAGTTCCTTGGGAAAATGGTGTCCCCTCAGCATCGTAACAACCACCACCAATGAGGAAAAAAAAAGCTGAAGCTGATGTCAGATTCCTCAACTTATGGCCTACAGGCGTAGGTCAGTTGCTGTTCCTACCTGAGTGTGGAACTCATCTCCTGGGGTGTCATGACTGTTTTCTAACTGGGAAGGTTGGGGAAGTGTGATTGTCACCAACTTGACTTTCACTTCAGCCTCAGGGAGCTAAGTCACCAAGAAAGAGGTTCAAGGGGAGACCCTGATGCAACGGGAGGTTGGCAGGATTTGATGTCAAAGGTATACTCAGGGTAAGTAAGCAGTCCTGAGTTTCATGTGTGATCTTCATTCTCTCTTGTCCTCTGGGAACAATCTGGGACACCCCCAACATCAATCACTCCTTTAATTATGCCTGCTTTCTGTAGGCACTGAAACACTCCCCATCACCCAAGCATATGGTCCTGGTTGAGACCCCACGTACATACCTGCAAATGCCACCATCACAGTGCATCAGTGTCTGGACACCATGAGGTCCTTCCGAAGAAGTTATGCTTAGGGAAGACTGGGGGCGGGGGGCCCTTTGGTCTAATGACTTAAAACCAGAGTAGCTAAGATACCAACTGCCCTTTCCTCAATGAATACCCTACAGTGGCAGCTTGGTGCCTCTGTGACCTGGCCACAGCCCAGCTTGTGGAAGACAGAGGCGTGGAAGCATGGTCTGGAGAGGAGTCTGTGGTATCTGATGCTGGAGAAGCAGGAGCAAGCTCAGTTCTTCCAGATGATGTGAGTGGAGCAATTACTAGATAAATTATAAATCTTGATGTTCTCACAGTGGAGAGTTATTTCAATGGTATCTCCCATGGAAGAGGCTGATCCTGGGTTCAGCTGGGTCCCCCCAGGTTTTTCTAATGAGAGTGAGGGGATGGGAGAGGGGTCATGCAAGCCTGTTCCCTTCACTCAGCTAGCAAGTGAGATGCTTTTCTAGTCATTTTCCAAACCTCAAATTCCTCCCCCGAGAACACAAGCTTCTAGCATAGGAGTTGTCAGTGCTCCCAGCATCTGTTTGCCCCTTGCCTTTGGGTCGGGAAGGTCATCGTCCGCAGCAGTGAAAGGACAGCAGGCTCTGGACTCACCGAGTCTATGCCAGCAAGATGGAGCTGCAGCTTTGCTGATGCAAGTTCCTGTCACTGGTGGGGGTGGGGGGAGGTTGGATGACAGGGGCCAGGGCTGTTTCAAAGTCACACTCCATCCCCTGCCAGCATGACTCACTGGCTCCGAGTGTCTAAAGGCAAAGGAGTCAGGACTCGGAACTGCCCCCGTGGGGAAGTGAGATGAGAAACAGCAGGAGAGCCCAGGGGCAAGCTTGCCAGGAGCAAGGAATTGGCGCCTGAAAGGAGATGGAAAGCTGACCGAAACTTGAGTGGTTTCTTAGGTTCTCATGGATTTAGACTTTATTAGAAAAGGGGTCTCAAATTCCCTCAAAAGCACTTAGGACTAGGGCTAAGGTTAAGGAAAGCTTATTTAAATATGGAGGCTAACATATTAAATGGCTGCACCCAACACCAAAGATCCCACTGGCTTTCTGGTGAAAGAAGATTTTTTTAGGGCAAACAAAACTGCCCCTTAAGGAGGCTAAAAGTCTTCCCTGGAGTTGATATACACATTGCTCTAGGTTACTGGTAAAAATAGGTGAGTGAGAGAAGGGTCCAGTCCTCCCCCTTCTCCTCAGACTTCTCTCCCACCTTCCTTCTTCCTTCCAAAAAATAAACAGTGAGATCCCCTGAGGGGGTGTGCCGGTTTCTACACAGCTCTTTGGTTCAGGTATTTCCCAGCCTCCCATAAAACACGTGCTCTGGACCCTGTTCCTTCAGGGCCTGGATTTCTGCAGTCAGAATAGAAGGGATTAAATCACTCACTCCTGGGGTGTGCTCAGGGGATTTTCTGGGGATGACAAGAGGTTCCAAAGAATTTCAGCGTCAGACAAACACCAGCCCCCGTCACACTCTAGAAGTAGCTTTATGCAAACAGGGAGTACGTGAGGATCCCTGTCTTCTACATGGAAGCAGCATTCTCTTTTAATATAAAACCGTATCAATCAAATAGAACCTGTCAAAGCTACAATCATTTAAAATATGTACAATTTCAAACATAATATTACAACTTAAGGACAATAAAACATACTTTTCAATATGATACAAAGACATGCATCTCAAAGTCACTGCTTTAAAAGGGTGACACAGGTGACGTTCCATTCTGACATGCACTTCTTGGCAGTCCTGCAACTGGAATGAGGTTTGCAAAGCCATCAGCCTAATATAGATGCACTGGTCTTCACAGACTCACTCAACAAAAACAAAGCCCAGAATGAAAAGCTTTTTCAAAAGACCACCTCAAAAGGTTTAAGGTGTTGCAATTAAGTTACATCCTGGACAGCACCTACCACCAGATTATCAGTGCATCGCCAACAAAGGAGATAGTGAAATGAGATCATAGGCGCAAGGCAAGTTAAACGCTAGAACAAAGAGTCACAGAGAATTCTAAGAAAAGGAACATGACAAGGCCGGACCAATTACACGCTTGCTAAGCCGAGAGATCAAGTTCTCTGGGAGGGGTGCAGTAAGTGGGGGGTGTCCGGAAGAAATGTGGCTTCCATGCATAAGCACAGAGCACAGCCCATGTAGGGCAGAGGGCAGCTTCCCTCGCTGTAAGCCAGAGCCTCAGAGGAATCACACAGCAGGGGTGGGCGGGATCATCCGGAACTGGGCTGGTTCTGTTGAAAGAGTGGATGAACCACAATGCTTCTGGAAAGTGGCACGGAACCACAGAGAGCCAGATTACAGCCCTGGAAGAATAGGGTTCCAATTCAGGCTCTGTGGCTCACTGTGTTACTTGGGGACTCTAACACCAACTATGCAGCTCTGTGGTGAGGGTGGAGTAACGAATACCAAGGTCTTCACAAATGTGCGCGCCATTCCCCACACTGCATTATGACCTCTGGCAGCCCGGTGAGTGCCGGTAGGTAGCACGGGTTCTCTGTCTGTGCCAAGCGTAGAACAACTCATCTCTCCTAAACGTAAAGGTAATTTTATGTATGTATATATATATATATCTATATATATATATCTTTATATTTATATATCTCAATATATAAAGGCATTTTTTATAAATAAAATATAATAAAAAGAATAACACTTAAAACAGCGTTACTAATAATATAAATAAAAGCAGTCCACGAGACGTTTTCTCTTCCTAGTGGACAAATCCCATATTCAAACTCAATCTTTAAAAGCAGTTTATGACCTAAGGCTCATGCTAACGCACCTGTTTCCTGAATCAAAATGACTGCCTACAAACATTTACTCCCCAGTTTTCTGAAACCCCTTTGTGACAGCATCGCTGTAACATGATTGGCAGACACAGGGTGCGTTTTTATGTTCTGTGGACTAGGACTTTGTCCTTTGCTAGTCACAGAAGTAAGGCATGCAGCTACCCCTCTCCAAAGCTAATTACATCTAAACGACATGAAGAATGCATCCAGGAAACACAGGCGTGGATGTCTGGAATGTAGACCTGGATTCTAGAGCATCCCTACCACCCCACTATGAAATTATATTCACTACTTTCTACTCAAAGTAATCCTTGCATAGTGACTCAGCCTAAACAGCACATTTCACTAACTGTTCTACATATATTTATAAAATATATAGACATATGTAAGGGAATACTGATGTGTTTATATAGCAAGTTGATTAACATAGTATTCTAGTTTAATTCACTGATTTCTGGGAAACTGTAAAATTTCTTCATGTATGCTGGAACTGCTCAACTCCATGGACATAAAGAAAATCATTTTCTGTTTCTTTTCCCAAAGGGATGTAAAATCCAAAAAAGAGAAGTGATCCATTAAAGTTTGACTCAAGCTATGAAACACACTTACAGTGTTGTTTTTTTTTAAGATGTGGAGAAAAAAAAGCCAAGGCAGCTGCAGATGTCCTTGTCACTCAGAGGCAGCAGTAATTGTGATTTATGAGCTCTGCTAACCAAAGCTTTCAGGTGCCTGTTTCCAACGACAATGTTCTGAACAAATGCCGGGGAATTCCAAAACCATACGATGCTCCCTTCAAATTACACCTCTTCTGACACGCACTTCTTCCAGGGACTGCCCTACTGGGAGTCAGAAGATGGTGATTTTGGGTGCATGGCCCCATAAACATAATCTTACACTATGGGGGGAGAGCTTCTACCAAGACAGGCCCAAGAGTCCTCCCTTGTCTTCTGAAAACACATATCTTTCTTTTTCAAGTTACCACCTTAACATCTAATTTTACTCCTACTCTTAGAGACAGAAAAGCGTCCCATGGCGACCACTTTCCAAAGGCGTGCAATTGGAAGTAGTGGGGTTTGAAGGCACTCTCTCTGGCTTGATCCCTTGCTGCGTACCTTAATAACCCAACTAGACGGTACCCTCCACGTCCAGGACGCTGCTGGGATTAGTGCTAGAAAACTGAACACCCCTTGCACTAGGTACAGACAGTGAGTCAACAGGTCAGCCATCACTTATGTGAACGGCACTCATACACTTCACATGAGATTTGCTATTTGAACCATCAGGTTACAACTGCGGTTGTCTGTAACTGTTCTCAGAATGTCTGGTAACACAGTATTGAAAAACAGCTGAAAACCTGAATAGTCTGTGCAATTCCCTCTTAGCTGATTCACCATGCTCGGTCCTTGCCGGGGAGCTCTTACTGCCCAAGAGGTCTCTAGAAACCCCTCTGATCCCATTGCTCTCTAGATGATTGAAAACTGCAGAAGTAGGTCACTTCCTACTGATTGGGCAGGGAGGAATAGGAAAGGGGATTTTTAAGGCATAAATAATATAAAAGGGCACACATTTTAAGATACATTCATAGGACATCACCACTACAAAAAAATAAATAACTATTTTCTCTGATTTGAATTAATGTTCTTCACAAAGTCCATCCCCAGGTCTTTCTGTGCAGTTCCTGGCTTGCAGTAGGATGTGGGTAGGTGTCTGCACATCCTCAGGTTTCCTGGGGTTGCTGAAGGACCCCTGAAGGGCTGTCTAAGGGAATATCAGGAGCCCATGCTGTCTTTTCAATACAGTCCTCTGAAGCAGGTGGCAAAATAAGTGGATTCCAACTTAGAATTTTGTTCTCTGTTTCTGAATGGACACAGCTGTCGCCTGAAAAAAAAAAAAAAAGTTTGGGAGCCTTGTGAAAAGATAAAGGCTGATTTTTACGGATCAGTCCAAAAACTACTCTGGGTAGGAAGCATGAGCCAAAGCAGAGCCAGGCTGTGTTTAGGAAACTTGAGGGAGACAGTGGATTTAAAAGGTCTAAAACAAAGTTGCGCTCACAGTTAACAGCTATGCAATGGGACTGGCATTTAGAGCAAAGTCCTTAAACGCCCCCAAACAACCTCCTTAGAAAGGCTAGAGCCCCCAAGCCCATGGCAGTGGCAGAGAGGCCATGAGCACACCATGCACTCCTCCAGCAAGTCTGCTTTCCAGGTACGAAGTGAATCAACACCTTACTAAAATGTAATGGGGTGAACAGCCCAAGGAAGATGTGAATAATTAAAGAATTTCCAAGAATCCTTTTCTAGTCTACTTTTTGGGAAGTATCTAACACCCTCTGCTCAGGCTCTTGAGATGAGCTGATCACAGAGATCACTGGGAAAACATCACATTCCCTTAAAGAGTTCTCAGTTAACTAGAAACGTCAGGCTTAAAGATTTGTAAAGCCTCCCCGTACCTCTGCTGAATTCTGCTGTATCTTCCGTGCAATCAGAGTTGATCTCATTTCTGTGGTCCTGACAGCACCTATTCTGAGCAGATCTTGGCGACACATCATCCTTGATGCTCTCCTCAGGGGACTGGCCACAGCCAGGGACTGTGGATGCCAGACACACAGGCACCTTCATGTGACTGAGGGGCTTCATTTCCAAGCCATCTTGAGCATAAGGTGCTACCACGGGGACCACAGGCAATGGGCTGCTGCCAAAGGTGCTGCTGGTTTTGGTGAAACACCTGCAAGATGCAAGCCAGAGGAAAGAATTGTGTCTAGAGGGATCAGTAATCAGGACATGTTTATTTTAAAATATCATTGGGCATTTTGTTTTTGGATTCTTAAGATGATTAATGCTTAACAGTAACTAATTCAAAATGACTTGAAAAATGAAAAATTAGTTTCCTTGGGTTTCTGAATCTAATGAGGTATGTGTATGGCACTGGGGGGTTTCTACACCACTGATATGCAGTTCCTGGTGTCCTATCTGCCGTCTCTCTCTGGACACAGCAGTCACAGGTTCCAGTCACTGAAGTTCCAAACCTCCAAGCACCTAAGCGATCATTCTTGGGTCCTTTCCAAAAGTCACCCAGTTCACAAACAAAAGACATCTTTATTGCTCTCATCACAGGAAATTCCAAGAGTTTGGGGAACTATAAGCCAGGGACTGTGGGTATAACCAAACATACATTTTCCATGATAAACCATAATATCACACCATTAAAGTAGAATACAATAGGAAAATATATCAAAAGACAAAATATATCAAAAGACAACCCAATGAAATATGGAATATAGGGGAACCAAATAAGGGATCAGGGAAAAAACAACAGCAAAAATAATAATAATAATAAATCCACAAATCTAGTAGGCAATCATAAGTAAGAGACATTCTGCAAGGGAAGAGGAGGGAAAGGGATAAAAATGGGAGAGAAGAGCATAAGAGACTATGGTGATGGTTCATGGGTGAAATGGTGGTGGGAATTTTACACGGACTACACAATGATGTAAAAGATATACATTTAAAAATTTTAAAAAAGAATGAAATGTTATATGACAATCTGTTCTCGACAATTCTGTTCTTTTATTTCTTGTTCCTTACGCTTCCTTTGCCTTAGTCACTGTCAGAGCTGTCTCACATTTCATACTTAACTGGCTCCTGAATAAAGCACACAGAAGGAAAATATCACAGCCACGGGAAAAAAGAGGGAGAAAAAGAAGACAGAGAAGACTTAGCGTCACATGAAAGAAATGACCTTATGAAAGCCACAAAACAGCTTGGAAATCAGATATCATGTTACCTTTCAACCTAGGAAGAAACATTATAAGGATTTTTAAACATTCAGATTCCAGGTTTTCCTTATTTTTCAACCTTTTTTCTATTGCAGAATTGCTAGGATTTATTAGCACTGAGCATTCACTTCAATTCTGTTCTTTTATTTCTTGCCTTCACCTAAGATATGTGCTCTCTTAAAGTCGTATTGATCTGCTAATTCATCACTCTTCTGTTGCCTCCAATCTGTTCTTTAGCCCAGGCAGTAAATTTTTCATTCCAGTTATTGTGCTTTTCAGTTTTAGAATTTCCATTTGATTTTAGTTTCCATTCTCGATTGACATTCCCCATATACGAAACTATTGTGTACATCTTCTTCAATGTGTTCATAACAGCTTCTTCAAAATCACCTGCTAGGTGTGACATCTGGGTCATTCCAGGCTGTGTTTCCATTGACCACCTTCTTTCTTCAGTAAGTATCACATTTTCTTATTTTTTCACATGTACAATAATGGCTTTACTGGGTTTGTCCTCCTCATTTTCTGGTTATTTCGTAGGTCTCAAACTTCACTAATCCTTTGATACCTCTATTTGGGTCTTTGACTCAAGACTGAAGAATTCCCTCAAGCAAAAGTTCAACAAATGTCACCTGTGGTCTTTCAAGTCAGATTTATTCAATTTCTATCTTCTTCTGGTTACTCTCCAATACTTTCACATTGTTCAAATTTCATCATCGTTACCTGCAGATGATCAAGCTATGCCAACATTAACAAAAGCTGGAGTCTCAGAAATAGTATTTTTTATTTCTAAAATTGGGAGCAAGAAAAGTTTGGAGACTTTTCATTTGGCTTTGATTTGGGCATGTGAGGAAGGAAACTTACAGTACTGACCAGCAGTATGCTGGTGTGAGGCAACATTAGGGAAGAAAGGAAAGAATCATTTGGATTTCCATCTTGTAAGCATGAGTGGTGTGTTTCTGTGGCACATAGTAATAAGCAAAACAAGTTCATGTAATTATTATTAGAGGTTCTGATGGTACAAGTGATTGGAATACCAAATGTTAAGTATGAAGATAGATCTGAACCTGAAAAAAAGTGAGATATTTGTCAGTAAACCAAATGCTTATTTTAAATTAATCAATCTTAGTTTCAAATAGCAAAATATACTCACTATGCACTTGGTGGTATTCAGACACTAGTCATCAAGAATGAAAGCAAGATATCTCTGGTATGCATCTCTGCAAAATAATTTGAATACAGTATTATGAAACATGACTATATTTTTAACTTTAACGATATAATGATACATATTTGAGATATATACCTAAGTGTGTATATGTATGAATGGATGTGTGTATATAAATGTGATGTGATATGTATCTACATGTGTATATACATATGAATGATTCAAATAATTTAACATTCTCATGCATATCTTAAATCCATAAAAAGTAAAGGAAATGGTGATAGAGAAGGAAGTTTCAGGGGCCAGAATCAGAGGACTGGGCTAGATGAGTCAGGACCCGCGACAAGTGGATCATTCCACCTTTGTGCGATGTACATTTTATTCAACTCAAAACTTTCTATTTTTTTCTAGGATGCTGAGTGTCCATGTTTATCAGTCTCTTCCCTTCTTTGTCACTAGCCTCATCGCTGTTTTAGTGCCCACTGAACCCAAATCTCACTTCATTAGAATCGACAGAACCTAAATACTCATCCAAAATGTAGGGCAAAGTAAGGAAAAAGGGAAACTCTTTGAACCAAACTACTAATGATGAGAATTTAGTAGACATTACCCATCTAGATAAGTAAATTTATCTACAAGAATCCTTTATTCTAAAAGTATTTGCTAAATACTTTATACATGCCAGGTACTGTCATAGACTGAAAATATAAAGGTCAATACAGCTCCCCTCTAAGCAGAGGAGATGGACAAGTACATAAATGGTTATAATAGAAGTTTATATAAGAAGTTCGAGAAGTTTACACAAGAAGATGTAAAAGACCCTGGGAGCACTAACTTTGAGATGGGTTACAGATGTGTGGCCGATGAGAAGAAGGCATTCCCATGTCACCGGCTAGAGACCTCTGTATAGTCTTCCATTCTATTTCAGGTCTTCTCATTAGGGACTAATTATAGAATTAGCAATAAGATTCTGATTTCAGAAGTCCAGGAATATCACTGGCCAGATAAATCGATATTCCTACCATGATTTTTGGGAAATAATTCCTAAAAATGAGACTTCTGGCTATGACTGATTAGCTTGTATCAGGACAATTCTGCCAAGAACAACTGCACAGGATGGAGAAACTTTATTTAAATCTGTTGAAATCATCAGTAAGCCACCACAGACTTTGAGTGGCTGATTCCAGAAAGAAGGTAAGTATGAGGCAGAGTTTCAGCACTTTTTCTTTTGGGGTATCAGCCCAATCGAGTGCAAGATGAAACACTGAGCAGTCAGGCAGGAAGTGGTAGCCAGGATGCTGAGCGAAACTTCTGGCAGTTTCACGGGGCAGGAAAGACAGAAATGGCACTTCAGAGCCTGCCAAAGAGAAAAGGCCCAATAAACATCCCAAGCGTTTGACTGGGACCCCTGCTAAATCATAAAAATAATTGTGAAGCAGAAATAGAAAAGGATTTTACAGACACTGAAGCTCAGCATTAAATCAGCTCAATCCTCTCTGGGGTTAACTGGACCTCCCCTTGCCCAGCTGCCTGCCCAAAAGAAAATTAAATCCTTCTGGAGGAAGAAAACACTTTCCAGAGTCTCAATAATTTTTATACACAACGTCCAGAACTACCAGGCACATCAGGAGACAGAGACTAGGGATAGATGCTGATTTAGGAGGCAGAGATCTTACGGAAGTGGATGAGTATATTCAAGAAAACAGACGACAGGATAGAGGACTTCAACGGCGATCTAGACTCTAGTAATAATAATATCTTAAAATGTCAAAGCCCAGGGGTTCTTCCTGGTGGTGCAGTGGGTTAAAGTGCAGCACTAAGAAGCTTAAGCCACTTCTGCATGAGTTCAATCCCCGCCTACCCCGGAGGTGACCACATGGCGCAGCAGACCTCTCCTGACCCGCCCACTGCTCCCCTCAGCAGTGTACTTCATCGATCTGCCTGTTCTGCTCCCTGCTCTGTCTCTGGTGAATCCTCTCACCCTCCACATCTCTGGCTTGTACCCCAGCTCTATATGAATAAATAAATCTTAAAAAAAAAAAAAATGTCAAAGCCCAAACATAGAATAACTAAAACTAGGAGTGTACTGCAAAGAGTTAGGGGCAAATGCAGGACATGAACAGAGGATTTACTGAATGCGAAGCCTGCCCTGGCACGCTGTTGAGACTGAAGTACAAACACAAAAGGACGGAGAAACAGGAAAACTGGAGAGGCCAACAGGACACAGTGGAAAGCTGAAAATGGCAACAGGTGGAGCCTCTCTGAAGCCGGGGGACAGTGGGACAGAAGCCATGCGAGGAGAGTTAGAGGCTAAGAATTTTCCTAAAACCAATGAAAGCTCAGGCCCATGGCTTCAAGAAGGTCTATAGCCCCCCAGTGGAATAAACAAGAAGAAAATAGCACCTGTTCAAATGTGAATAATTAAACTGCTGGAAGGAAAACCATAAAAATCAGTCAGAAGAAAAATACATTATTACCTTGAAAGAGAACAACAGATGTAGAGATGACTTTTCAACATAAATGACAGAAACAATAAAATAAAAGAATGACATCTTTAACATTAAAGACCGTTACGTTTTTTTCTTTAACAAAAAGTAAGTAAACTGTCAACCAAGAATTCACTAAACAGTAAAAAAATATGCTTGAAAAGAAGATAAACTAAAGACATCATCCAACCAAAAACTGGAAGAACCAAAAACTGGAAGAACTTGCTGCCCTGGACCTGTACTTGAACAAGTAACAAAGATACATTGGCTTGTTTCAAGTTGGCAAAAATGAGGAGCA